ATTTTGTTAGATCCCATCTCTGACTTATATGCTAAATCAGACACCTGAACAAATGTTATAGGAAGACAGAGTCACTTGTACTTCCATTAAAGTCAAAATTAAATTTTCTGTCCTCTCAAAACATGGGTTTATTTTCTAACATCTTATTTGCCTAGGCCCTGTTTGCTTAGTCAGGGATGGGGAAACTTTTTTCTCCCAAGGGCCATTTTGGATATTTATAACATCATTCTCGGGCCATACAAATTATCAATTTAAAAATTAGCCATGAAAAAAGCTCCTAGATTTATTGAATTTCGAGTCCCGTCTGCAGTTGCCTTGGCAGGGCCAGACCAAATGATTTTGCAGGCCTTATAGGGCCCCAGGCCGGACGCTCCCCACCCTTGCCACAAAAGGCAGCCACTCTGCTTAGCCTTTTAATACACTTATTGCTTTCTGCCTATTGTTTTTGAGTGTTCAGACTGACACGAGCTTTCCTCTCAGATACACGGGTAATGTTTTCTTGGGAGCATTTCTGAGCATTCGGTCATTAAATTAGATAAACTAGCATAAGAAAGCAGTACTTTGTACACTGGGCTACTTTTATATTGCTTGTATTTCCTCCTTCTGGGGCTAATATTGCTCAGGATTAGTACCAGGGAAAGTAGTTTGGAACTTTCTAACTCAAGTCAAACCAAATAGGAAACAAAGGCGGTATTTTACCCATGGCAGAGCTTTGAATATGGAGTAGCGTGATGCTTGAGGTCCGCATGGTGATGGAAATGGTAATTCGGAGACAACTCTGAGAAGGAGGAAATTCCTTGGGAAGATAATTTAGTTCTTGCTCAACCTATTGTCCTGCATTAATTATATGGAAACTGTCTTTATAATGTTAAATTCTTATGTTTTATAACAAATAGATCACAATTTATTGTTTCATTATATTACTGAAAATATGGGCAGTTTTATATTACTGAGGTGAGCTTTGATGCTATTTTATTATTTGTGAGAGAAAAAAACACTAGAGAACTTAATTAAAAGCAGCCAGATGATAACTATGTTTAAAAAATACTAGCTGAGTGTTCACCATGTGTTAGGTATTATGCTATGTACTAGACATGATTTGTCTCATTTAACCTTCCAACCAATTCTATGAAGTACTGTTGTTATCTCTATATTACAGATGAGGAAACTAAGGATTAGAATTTTTAAATAACTTGCCCAAAGTCATACTGTTCATAGGAGGCACAGTCCAGATTCATTCTCAGGTCAGGTTTCAAAACCCACTCTGATCTGCACGTACTGATTGATGTGAGCTGCTTCTAATTGTTGCACAAGAGAACTGAAAGGCATAGAATTACATGCATTACACATGAAGTCTAATGGTTTTGTTGACACATTTACACCAACTGTCTCTATAACTCTACTTGTCAGAATTGCATATTGGAATAATTTCTAAAATAATTATGTATAGAGAATATAAAATGAAAACAATCCAGATCCACAAACTACATTTTCTATTCTGTGGTTATGCTAGGATAGAAAGGGATATTGTAACAATTAAACAAAGTAGAGAGAGTTTTTTGTAAAATATTCTCTAAGCCTATAAAACAATTTTTCAAAAATATTTTGAGTAAAATAAGCACATTTAAAAATTCAGAGTAGTGAAACTGGTTGTAGGTTAACATTTGAAAAATACCTGAATATTTGTAGGGTTCCATTAAAACAAACCAGTGTGTTTTCCATGTACATGTTTTGGTTTTCCTTTACAAATTTATTTTATTTGTACTAATGTACTTGCATGTATTTACGAATATGTTTAGAAGAAAACAATATGCATTACTAGAAAAATCTGAGGCTTTTTTACCACTAGACATTGATAGAAAGCACATGTCAGAGAACATCTGTCTGCTTAGTTGCACAGAACCTGGAGGGAGAAAGGGAAGAAACTAAAGCAATAGCCATTGGCTAATCCTGTAGATAGTAGCACATATTTACACAACACAAAGAGAAATGATTTGGCAATGGTCCAGTTCATTACAAAAATATGGAGAGCTAAACTGGGTATCAGGGTTTCCAAAGCAGATATTTGGTTTGAGCTTACATAGGGCAAATTATTTACACTGACAGTATTATTTGGATAATTTTGTTTAAAAAAATCAAAATAAACTGTATTTAAATGACTTCATGAGTGCTCTTAAGTGTTTTTTTGATTTTAATATTAAATAATTCATTATGATAGGATTTTATTTTATCATTTTAAAATTTTGCCATAATATGTCATTGTCTGTGTCTGAAAGAGAGAAATGCAGTATACCCTTTTAATACATAGTAAGAGAATTAAAAGCCATTTTTTCTGTGACTACCCACAATAAGTACATCTTTGGAAGAGAATAGGTAACAGCAGTTCATTGTTAAGTCCTTAACTTTTAAGCCAGATTGAGGTGGGAGCAGAGTCATTAGAAAAGGAGGAATCAGAAAGGAATAGAAATATAAATTATCATAGAGACTAGAAGGATATTTAACTGTACACAAGAAAAATTAAAATAGTTTTTCAGCTAACTATAGGTAGTATTTTATTTTACTTATTTTCAATCTTTTCATATTAGTATTATAAATATCAACAGTTATGATACAAATACTGTTTGTTTTATGTTCCTCGGCTCATCTTTCAGCTCTTCATGACTTGCTAGTTTTGAAAGCCTTCTTTAATGTTTGTTTTTCTCCATTCCAACTTACTTTTTACAAGTATTTCTGATTTGCTGTCTAAGCAAACCCTCTTAGTCTTTTTGCCAAAATATGAAAACTATGGAATTTTGTTGTTTATATACATATGTCCTAACCAATTGACCTGGATATAAATATATTCAACAGAAAATGACAACATAGCCCAGTTAAGAAAAACATTTTATTTTTTCCCCCATGATGGTAGCTAAGTTATTTAAATTCTATTACTAAAAAAGTACATATTTTCATGGGTAAGGAGTTTTCCCCTAAACAGTAGTTGGCACTCCATAGACACTGGGAAAGCTCAAGGCAGGCATTTAAAATAAGAATATATATATCCATATATATAACATGTTCATAATATTCATCATAGAAGAGTGATAAATTATGAGAAATAAACCACATAATATAAATGATTAGAAAAGAATGTTCTTTACTAGATCCCTTCTCACATTCATTATTTCTCTTCAGTCAGTGAACACAAAGCTCTCGTGTCATCGCTGTGGCATTTTTATTGAAAACAGAGCCATCTTTGCCTCATTGTTGACTTTCCTTAAATAATAGCTGGAATCAGGACACTCTTAGTTCAAAAGCTTTCAAAGATTCTTCTTTCTATAAAATATCATCTATACTCTGTAGCTTGATCCCCGCCTGTCTCTTACTCTCCTCAATTACTGCAGTCGGGTCCAACTAAAGACTCCCCAATATAAAAATACTAGCAGGTCTCAGCTGTTTCTATTTTGATGGGCCCCAGCTGGACTTCACATACTTGTCCGCATATGACTGTCTTACATGCAGTTATCAATCCAAGGGCCATCTTGTTCAAGAAACCTTTCACAGAAGTCTCCCCTGATAGCACTCACTTCTGTCAAAGGCATATTTTGAAAATCCATAAATAATTGATTTGGATTGAATTCACATGGGTCCTTTAAAATACTAGAGCTATATATAAAATCATAGACCAATAGCTGGAAGAGATTTCGAAGACAATATAGCCTAAACTTTGCATTTTTAAATATGGAAAACCTTGTCATCTCCTCCTAACTATAATATCCTGGACATATATTTGCATAATATGTAAAAACACAAAATAAGCTTTTAAATCCCTGTGATTAAATGAATTCCTACTACGTTTGTGTTTGTTTTGATATTAAGTAGTCTCAAATGGGTTCCTTTCTTTTATTTCAAAACTTTACCCATAATAAGCCTTCAAATAAAAGCTTCATACTGGAGGTGGTACTTGAATTGGTCTTTGAGCATAGGTAAGGCAGTCAGTCATATATGGACAATCTTGTAGAGTGGATGTGAATTCAATCCGAAGAGTGGCATTACTTGTCATTAATGACAACTTTTCCTGAAATCTATTTCTATGTGAATTCCATACAGCCAGTTCTTTTAATTTTTTTATACATGAGGACTGCCAGTAAAAGTTTACGGTAATATTCTCATATCTTATTTATGGCTGGACCAGTTAGAAAAATTCAGTAAAGCTGAAAAAACCTCATTGGTTGCTAAGTCTATATTTTTATCAACTCACTATTCTATTTACAATGTTATCTTTCTCATGTTTGGCCTGCATAATCACCAGCACCACCACACAGAGGTTATATCAACAGAACAACCATAAATAGCTATAAACATGCTATATAAACAGAACAACATTTGTGGTGTAAAAAGAACATTATCTGTGTGGGAATCTGATAGACAAACCCAAAGTTTTCAAAATTAATTGGCTGCATATTTTAAAATATATTTTTATTAATTTCAGAGAGAGAGAGGAAGGGAGAGGGGGAGAGAGAGAGGAACATCAATGAGAAAGAGTCATTGACTGGCTGCCTCCTGCACTCCCCCAGCTGGAGATCAAGCCCACAACCCCTGCATGTGCCCCGACCAGGAATTGGATCAAGATCTCCTGGATCGTTGGTCAATGCTCAACCCCTGAGCCACGCCAGCCAGGCTAGCTGCATTTTTTAAATCACCTTTACCAAATCTCAGTTTCTGAATTAAAATATTAATTATATTGAGAGATTAACAAAAGTTTATGTAGAGGCCTGGTATAGACAAATTTCCTATCCCTATGTATGTCTACTTCTATTGAAGCAACTCATTTGTTAAGAAATTATAGATTTTTCCCTAATTAAGATTTTTTCATGAGTGAATCTTGGGGGGGAAAATAAGTCTTCCAAATTTGGAGCAGCTGTTACATATTAAGAATGTATCTAATTTGAATGATTATTAATGAAAAATATGGAAAGATTTTATGATGTCATCACACTTTGTTTTCTTTTGCCTTTTAGGAGCCTAAGTTGCCAAAGGATTACTTTGCACAAAAATCTGTTCTTCTCCTTCATTTGTAATTCTATCATAACAATAATTCATCTCACTGCTGTGGCCAACAACCAGGCCTTAGTGGCCACAAACCCTGTAAGTAAAACGAGGTGTGTCCTTAGGTTCAAAGGGTTAGTGGGAAAGATATGGGAGAGGTGAGAGGTCCTGATATATGGACTATGCATGTAATTAAGTACTCATATTGTAGTATATTTTAAGGTCTGACATATAGAGAGTATATGTAGCTATTTTCCAATCTTGAAAGATAAATAAATCTCAATATTCCTCAAGTTAACATGATTGAATATTGAAAGGAAGAATACTTTTTTGCTTCAGTTATTTATATATGTTATACATATCTTCACCTCAGTTTATGGCTAGAGTCCTGCTACTGATAGGACATAAGATTTTATGACTATATAAACTTTACTCAATCAAATTAAAAAAACAATCAACTGTGTAGTTAGCAAAAACAGTACATGGAAATGGAAATTTTTAATTATATTTTTGGTGTCTGGCTGACTTTAAAATGTTGACAAAACCAGAGAAAACTGAATTATACATCCCCTATATAATGTTATATTTTATTACCATAAAATTATTAAAGGACTCTACCAAGTTCTCATGTCTCAGCAAACATTTATAAAATGTTTCCTTACAATTTCTTTGGAAGCACAATTTTTAGGATCGGTATCAAAAGATACACAAATAATAATCACAGAGGCTGTCATAACATATTTATAAAAAATAAGCTAAAATTTACTTATACAAATGTATATATTTTTGTGAGCTATATATCTCTGTAAGCTATATTTAAATTAAAATATCTAAATATAATTTATATGTGCATTAATAAAAAACATTCAAGTTTTTAAAGTCATATATTTTCATAATGTTTATAAATATCTATACTACAGTTTTATATGGATTTTGGAGGTGGGGTATATATATGTATATATAAAGTGTTTTGGGGTTTTTTTAGAGATTAAGCTATCTAGTTACTGAAATCCGGAAAGGGAAGGAATTTTCACTCAGTGGGTCAATAAACAATACTCTGATGTGTGTTTTATGTGTGTTTTTAGGGTAATTTCCAAAATTCTAAAATTCCCTGCATTGTTTGCACAAGTGCATCCGGACTTCTTAATTTTGTATATGTTCCACTCTAAAGTCACTGGGTGAGGAAACACACTGGGGTATAATTAACAATATTAAAAAAACAGCCAATGTCCTTCCATTTTATAGTGAATTTCTCTAGAGCAAGGAGATTCAGAGTTCTGTCATGAGGCTCAGAGCAAGAGATTTTAAATCTTATATTTATATACACGGACATCGTGTTTAACACACAAATTGCAAACTATATATACTTAGTTTTAATATATTCTTGGAAAGAAAATTTGTCTATTTTTATCATCAATGCCCAGCATAAAGATATTTTTCTGAAGCATGCTTTAAGTTATTTCTATCATAAGAGTTTATGGGTTAATTTTTAAAATGAAATTAGGAATTAAAAACTCAATTAGATATGAATTTTTAAAAACTATATAAGTAAAAATTTGAAGTTGAAGTCTATCTTTTTTATGTAATATAATGGAATAACTCATTTTTAACTTTGAGAGAATTTTGCTAATATGGTGTTATGTATGACATCAGGTGTATTTTTAAAATTTAATGTCATGCAATCCGAAAACATATTTAATGAAAAAATTGGTTTTATAAATGTCCTTAGTCAGAAGGCATTGTGTATAGTAATGAAAACAAAATTGGAATTATAGGTCTTGTGTTCAGGATGTAGCTTTGATTGATGTATGAATATTAGGAAATCATTTAACTTTTTAAGTACAGATTTAATCTATGAAGTATGTGATTAATAATAATTCATGCCTCAGAATTATTTTAAGGATTAAGTAAAAAAATATATAATAAAATATTTTTTAGCTAACTCATGTGCAAATATTATTGTTACTGTTCTGTGATAACCCAACATCTACTTTCCAGTGTATTTCATTTCCAATTTTCTTTTTAGTGAAAAAATATTTATTTCAAAAAGATGATAATTGCTACTAAATATTTATTGAATTACAGGTTGGAAACTGGAGCTGATGGGAGTAATTGGCCACATATTTCTGGAAAAGTTTTTAATTTATTTCCCTTGTTAAGAGAGTAAACTATATCTCTTATTCCTTAGTGTTTTCTTTACCCGATATTTTTTAACTTCCCTCTTTCTGTCTCCTTAAGAGTAGAGAAGAGAAAGTGGAGACCTCAGGAAAAGAGGAAGGAAAAACAGTACTTTTTTCTTTGTATCTACACGAAAACCTCAAACCCCATATTTGGATAAGATAAAGTATAGGCTCATTAGGTTATTGTTTAATAAGTATTTGCACTGATAGCATGTAATATGCAAGACTTTCCAAGTATTTGGCACTTTTCATGAATCACTTTTCTTTCTTTTTTTTTCTTTCTTTTTTTTTTTTTTAATATATCTTTATTGATTTCAGAGAGAGGAAAGGAGAGGGAGAGAGAGAGACAGAAACATCAATGACGAGAGAGGCATTGATCAAGCCCGCAACCCGGGCATGTGCCCTGACCGGGAATCGAACCCCGATCACCTGGATCCCAGGTCGACGCTCAACCGCTGAGCCACGCCCGGCCGGGCCCATGAATCACTTTTATAATTAAGATCATTATTAAGATTTTTTCCAACAGAATACAGCAAAGAGTTCATAAAGACATAATTAAAGTAAATGTAAATAGATGCAGTCATTCATGTGCAAAATTTTTACACTTAAAATTACATAATAACTAAAACACATTGGAAAAATAGACCTCCACTAAATATAGAGATTTGGAATATGTACATTTCCTTGGCAGTACAATACACTATTATAAATCTCGAGTCAATGGCTAAAACTTTGGAGGTACCGTCAGATGAGAATGAAGACGGGTGTTTTACAAATCTGAATCATTTGTGTATAAGATTTTGAGTAGAGAAAAGAAAACTCTATGTTTCTATACAACCGACCTAAACTAGACTTTGTATCTGAATGCATAAACAATTAAATATTGCCTGCTTTCTTTTTTTCGCACAGATTGGTTGTAAAGTGTCCCAGTTCATTCACCTTTACCTGATGGGCTGTAACTACTTTTGGATGCTTTGTGAGGGTGTTTACTTACACACCCTCATCGTGGTGGCCGTGTTTGCAGAGAAGCAACACTTAATGTGGTATTATTTACTTGGCTGGGGTAAGTCCTGTCGCACCTATCTGTTGATTCACCTTATTAAGAAATCTTTTAGAGTATGCAGAGTTCCTCTGTAATAAAAACATACTTATTATTAGTCATTTTAAATAATGTTTAGGTGATTAACCTTTGCTTACCGCTGTAAATTTATATATTGAAATAAAATACCACTGATTCATTGTTTTTAGTAGCCACAGGTCAATTACTAATACGCTGCTTTTTTTTTTTTTCTATGTAATATTCCAGTGTGTATCTTGGCTAAATATGTAGTGACTAAAACAATAGAATTAGAATAATGAATTAAGATCAAGTCCTCCGAGTCTCCTTTTTCCTCATGTGCAAAATGAGAACACTGGGCTTAGCCAGCTTTGATTTTCCATTTTGAAAATATTTGTTTAAAAAGAAAGCATTGTCATTTTATCTAAGAGTATAAGGGACCAGATATAGAATAAGAGCATGCAAAACGTCTGTTTTCTCCACATCATCTCCTGACACGGTATTACTCACAAAGCAACAAGCGTGCACCTCTAGCACCTAAAAAATAAGAAAACTAATGCAAAATACAAAACGCTAAACATAATTTCAATAGGACTAGTTTCCAGAAACATAACTGAAATTGCACTTTATCTATCTACCTCTCTACCACCTCTCTCTCTCTCCACCTACCTACCTACCTAGTCAGACAATAGACACAGATATATACAGCGATGTGTGCGCACACACAGTCTTTGGTACATTCGGGTTACCTTTATAAAACATTTCTTCCAAAGATCTGACTTAGAATGCTCAAACATGCAAAATTTCTGAGACATAAAACATGTTTTTTTCTTTCTCTTTTCTTTGTATGGTCGGGCAGTCCCACTTTTTCCCCACATGTGATCATCTACCAAATTTGGCCAATTCCACCTTACAGAAAATATATGAATGCTGGACTTCTTTTAAGCCTTGGGGCTTAGACAGCAGCGTATTTATGGATTTAGGCTCTGGGGTCCACTGATTCAAAATGGCATATATTAGAAAAGACATGCACACACAAAGCTGAAAATATAAATAGCTAATATTTTACCATATTTACTGCTTGACTATACCGATAATATTTACTCAATAGACATGTGACAAGTTACTTTTGCTCCTAGAGTATCTCTGAATTTCACATTTCATGACACGCCTTAGGAGCTCCATCTGTAGAGACTGCTTATTTATTTTTTTTTCTTTGATATTTGCAGGATTTCCACTGATTCCTGCTTGTATACATGCCATAGCCAGAAGCTTATATTACAATGACAAGTAAGATAATATCTCTTTCTGATTTCCGTTGGAACTAAGTAAAACAAAATCTTGAACATACTTCCTCTGTCTTGCCCCCTAGCTGCTGGATCAGCTCCGATACCCATCTCCTCTACATCATCCACGGCCCAATCTGTGCTGCTTTACTGGTACGTCATTAAAATTCACATTTTTTTCATTAGCGTTCGTATTTCAATTTCATTGCCTGAGTCATCTGGTCTGTGGTATCCTTCAGGTTCCCAGAGGACTCAGACAACGTGTTCTCAGTGTTTAATTGGAGAGCGTTTGATGAAGGTGTTATATTATATTAGCTGTTGGCAGGAAGGGTAAAGGAACTAATTCATAAGGGACGGTGAGGCACTGGGGACAAACAATGGGAAGTTGTTATCACAGCAAGACCGGCAGAGGGGCCAGAGCAGTTACTGGATTTGAGCAAGTTCGGGGAGGAGTCGCCCAACAGGAGCGCTGGCCTGGGGGTAGAGGAGCACAGACGCTGCCAAAACCACAGCCTGGCGGGGAAAGGGAAAGAGAAAGAAACACTCAGACTTCTCTCTCTTCCCATGCTCCGATCCCCTGGTTCCTCCCCTTGGCCAAACGGAGCAAATGTCAGAGGGTAAGAAGCTGGGTGATGACACAGTTCCCCGAGGAGCCTCCGAGCTCCCTGGGGCACAGAGCAGAACAGAGAAGGTCAGGGTGTGGATCCAGTAAGTGGGGACAGCCAACAAGAAAAGCTCCACAGCTATGTCGGTAATGAGAGTAATATCCCAATAAAGAAATGGCTTCCATTTGAAAAAAGAGAGCGTTGCTTAAACATTAATTGTTTTACTGTTATAATGATCATCACTTAATACAAGCGCACTGCACATTTTTAAGTGTGGTTGAAAAGAAACAGAAGTCACATTTAATGCTTTTATTACATTGCTTCAATGGGGAAATAAATCCAAATTAATATGCTTTCTCTCATAATACATTAAAGAACAGAATGTAATTACCGTCTGTAATTACAGTTGATTTAATTATGTATAGACAAAGGTGCTTTGTTTCCCAGCCAAAATCCAGTTTCCTAACCCTTGTTTTCATTCTTTTTTTTTTTTTTAGACAAATGTTTTTCTATTATTTTGCTATATTTGCTAGCTGAAATTTAGTATATGGTTATGTGTGAACACAGTTCAAGCCATCCCAGAATAAATCATTGTTAAGCCATTCTCAAAAAGTGGGTCATAACTAAGGCGGTAAATTCTGGAGGCTGATTGCCTAGGGTTAAATTCTTCGGCTCTTACCTTCTGTGTGCCCTTAGGCCTTTAAACTAATCACTATGTGCCTCAAGTCCTTCATTTGTCATTTGTAAAATAGAGAATGTAATAATAGCGATTTTTAATTTTTTTACAAGAAATTAAATGTTAATACATAAAAAGTGATTGTCTGGCACCTATAAAGCATGTAGCAGTCGTCAAATGTCTGGTTTGAGCCTAGCCACACAAGACAGCCAGTTCAAAAACTCAACACATGGAATTTATTATGTCTCATAGAAATGGTAATTTACCTTAATGGAGACTCTAGTGAAAATTTCAGAGGCAGAAGTTTTATTCTTTTCTCCCTCCCTGCACATACTAGGGACATGTGTGATACACTGTGTTTAAGCTACACCCTGAGACAGCCTAGCCGTGTATTTTTTCACTCACAGGAGCTAGCATTGAAACCTAGCTTTACCACTGCTGGTGTGGATCCCTGGGCTGGTTCTGTTTTGTTTTGTTTTTGACCTTTCTGGGACTTTGTTTTCTCATCTGTGGTTATGGAGTAATAAGAATAAATACCTCACAGGACATTATAAGGATTAAATGAGATATGCCCTATTAAGTGATTAACACAGTGCCTAGAATATAATAAACCCTCAAAAAATTCTTTAAAACGTTTCTTGACTGGTAATTTCTACATGATACCATAATTCTGTTCTGAGGAGAGTGCAAAAAAATTAAGATATGTTGTTTGGGCCACCCAGGTGCTTACAGAGCAAATACAGGGCAAAATTTTATTATAAGAGATCTGACAGTGCAGAGTGTATGTGATTCACTGCCTAAATCAGAGAGGTTCGGGAAGAAGTAAAAGCACCTAGCGAATGAAAAATGTAACAGCAAATAACACAATCCTTGGGAAAGCCTGTCTACATCAGCTTTGAGAAGGAAGAGTAGATGGTGCCACTAGGATAAAGTATCTCATAGGAATGTAGCCCGAGTTGCTCAGTAAAAATGAAGAGAAAATTCACATTGTTTGCATAAAACTTTTTTCATCTTCTTGGCCTACAAAAAGATTAGCAGCTTATTTTTTCTACCAGGATAAACTGTTCTGTTTTTATTTAAGCTCCAGGGCCCCTGACTGGTCCTGGTCAATTCCGAGGTCTAGGGAGTGGCTCTAACAATTGTTTATATGGTCACATGTTTTTATACAACTTTTTAAATTGAATTTATTGGGCTACATTGGTTAATAAAATTATATAGGTTTCAGGTGTACAAGTCTGTAACACATCATCTCTATACTGTATTGTGTGTTTGCCACCCCATCATGTCTCTTTTTATCACCATTTATCCCCCCCCTTTATCTTTTCCTCCCTCCCCACCCCCATTTCCCTCTGGTAATGACCATGCCCTTGTCTGTGTCTCTGAGGTTGTGTTTTTTTTATAAATAAGCTTTCAACCCCAATCAGTTTCTTTCCACTCAGACTTCCTCTGTCACATTTGCTCCTGAGCAGGGTGATATTTGAGTGGCTACAGCATTTCTGAGATCCTGCTAAGGGGAAGTTCAAGAAGATACATTTAAGTTGGGTTGAGTGAGAGATACTTGGGTCACATCAGGGCATAGTGAAGTGATTGCTGGCTGTTGCAGTCAGCAGCGACTTCTAGGAATCCTGCTACCGGCTGATTCACCCTGCTTCTCGTCATGGCCCTAGGGTGGCATGTGTGACATGAAAACATCCGGTTGTGCCTGCCAGATATGTGAACTTTGTCAGTGATGGCGTAAAACAGGATTCTTTTCTTCTTAAGTAGTTTTGCTCTAACGCAGATGAGATTCAGGTATAGTTGATCTGAAATTTAAAATTCTTATTCTAGTTTTTATTTAAAATAAATGGAAGTATTGGTAGAAACTAAAGGAGGATGACTTTCTAGTTTCTAGTTGCACACTTTAAACCAGAATTGCCATTCTGGAGAGCCACTTTGTATTTAGAAATTTTCTTATGATGGGCATCTAAATTGCAACATTTCCACTGATTTTATAATTTATGATTTTGCATATGACGATTATACAATATTCTAAATGTATAAGCAGGTAACAGGGCACTATCTTTTTTTCTATGGGTGGTAGTACTTTCTGTTTAATCAAAACTTTTCAAACAGCAACGAATGCTTAGGAAGGGAATGTAGTAGTATGGGTGGAATAACAGCTGATATGCTGATTTGTCAGGTCATTCTTACAGCTGTTGAAATGGCTTATTCTGCTTTTGTCTTTAGCCGAGACATTCCTATGTCTGTAACCGTGTTACTTTTCATGGATGTGTTTCCATCAGGATTAGAGTGAGCTGTATTTTTTGAAGCATATGTTCCACTGAATTATCTAAAAATAGTAGTGGAATATTTTTATGCCCAGTTATTTTCACAACACACATCTTAAATCAGCAAATGTCTGTTATTTGTTCATTGTTTTCTACATTAAATGAGATCCTATCATTATTTTTTTAATTTATTAAAGGATATGGATATAAATTACATATTGGTATGTAATTGAAAATTTTTGGATTATCAAAAAAAGCAGAGATGCTAAAGTCAGGGTGAGAAAAAAGGACGAAAGAATAGCATAAGAGCCTAAGAGCCCCAAGGGGCTCTTCTGGAGGTAATGGCCATAATCCTGTGGAAGGTATAAGGAGCCGGCATGAGAAAATAGACAAAAGTAAAAGATACTGACTTGGCTCAAGATAGGAAAGAGAGAAAGTAATATTCGGGGCCAGGGGGTATTTCAGCAGTACTCTACATTTTCTGCGTAACTTAGTTATTCACACTATATTTTTGAAGTTTAATGTCTCCCTTTCAAAAAGAACGTTTGCTCTTGGGGAAAGTTGTTAACACACAATAAGTATGCAATTACAGAAAGTAATTAACGTAACAGAAAGCCTGTGGATGCCAATTTTTTTTTATCTCTAGGATGAGGTAGGTTGAATATCCAATGAGTGATTCAGTCCACTCTAAGGATATAGAGGATTACAGTACTATCTTGGAGGAGATGTGGGGACTCTTATTACAAAAAACAAACAAACAAACAAAAACAAAATACAGAAAGGATAAACCAAAAAGAGGAAAATGGTTATTATGGCATAATATATATTCGGAAAGTACGTAATATGGACACTGATACAGAGGAGATAATTATAAATCAGAATTTGTTTTAAAAAATATTTCCATTGTTTGAGCTGAGAATATTTAAAAAGCTTTAGGTTTTGGACCAAAACAATATAGAAAAAAAAAAAAATGCATAAGAAAATGAACTGAGACAAACACTCAGCTATCCCTCAACAGTGTGCTCCACAATAATTCCACCATAATCTTTTTTAAAACCGAAGTCCATTAAAACTGCTGTAAATTAATAAATCCCAATTCTAGAAATACAAATTATATCATAGCCTTATCTACTGAAAATATTCTAAGATTTATAATATTAAAGATTCTACACGAGTGCTTCTTGAACATTAAATGTGAAATAATTGTCACACGCCATTTCATTTTCCTCTAGGTGAACCTCTTCTTCCTCTTAAATATTGTCCGTGTCCTCATCACTAAGCTCAAAGTGACCCACCAGGCGGAATCCTACCTGTACATGAAGGCGGTGCGGGCCACGCTGATCCTGGTGCCGCTGCTGGGCATCGAGTTCGTGCTGCTCCCCTGGCGGCCCGAGGGCCGGGTGGCGGAGGAGGTGTACGACTACATCATGCACATCCTGATGCACTACCAGGTGCGGAGCTTCGTGGCCAACTCACCTGTGGCTTTGGGTTTAGTTTGGGCGACATATGCAGTCAGCTGGTTAAAGATAACGTACTGTATCATTTCTGTTTGGAATCAGATTATTCTCTTTTTCTTTTGCAGGGTCTTTTGGTCTCTACAATTTTCTGCTTCTTTAACGGAGAGGTATGGTGATGGATGTTATGTTTTATTGGCAACATAGTTTTAGACTGGCAACATCTTTTTTCTTTAAAAAAAAAGTCAGCATTATGAATTCCCTAGGAACGGCTGCTTTGAATTTTGTTTCTATCAGGAAGGAGAACCATAGAATCTCTTTTCACGGTTGTAACTCTCCTTCCCAAAAGCTTGGGTCATTTTGGAGTTCAAGGCTAGGGCAAATTCAGCCTCACTTTGAAATATTCCGTAAGTGACTTATTGATCTAGTCTTTTGACCTACCTTTTAAACTAGCCCGGTTAAGTCTGGGCTTTGACCTATGTGCAGTGCTAGGCAATCCCTAACCTCACAGGACATGCATAACCTCTAATACGAAAAAGTATTAGCTCATTTTTACTTTCCCCCTTCCGCTGTTTTCTTTTGTGTGTTTTTTTGCCTGGCCTACAATGTGGTATTTGGAAACAGTTTTACTGTAGATACAAACGCATTTTTAAAATTAAACTCTCAGATATATAGGGAGATGCCGTAGATTAGAAAATTCAAGAAACTATCATGTTGTAACTTGAAATGCAGCAATGTAGTCTTGGATATCTCAAGATTCTTATCCAAGTATTTTTTAATTGAAAAGTTTCAGGAAATTTGGAAACTGGTAGTGCTATATTTCTTATGCATACGAATAGTGTTATAGCTCAGTAATTTGAGTTATATTGATTTAGCTCTATATGTTTTTAATCTGCTTGACCAACCTTTAACCTGTTGGAGGATTTTGGCAAAATTCAACAAAGTTTAGAAATCCAGACAGCAACTGAGTGAGACGGGGACACTTGGTAACTATGAAGCTTATCATGGAGTTTCAGATGGAAAACACATGGAGCCAGTTAGCATAACTTTATAAGAAACATTCCTATCAAACAAATCAACATTGGAAATCATGTACATATTAAAAACTACTAAATGTTGCTTTCTTTTGCTTAAGTAATATTTTACGTCTTTCTCTTTAGCATAAAACTTCAAGTTTAATTTTTAAATATAGGTATTTATTTTATATAGTTATTTATTTATAATGGGATGTAGAAGTGTCAAACAGTACACTATATTTAATACCTAAGTGGTACTTCCATGATTCTTCTGCTCTTCATAGGACAAGAGTGACTGTTTTTCTAAAGTCAATGAGAAGTATAGATAGAAAATGCAATTATGAAGAATAGATAAATCATTCTATATAATAAAATTCAAATAACAATTGTTATATACCACTATAAACTTAATATTGTATAAACTGAATTAGACAATTCTGTTTACTGCTTACATAAGATTTTATAATTAAATATAGATGAGGAAGATACAGACAACATGCAAAGAACATATATGAAATATGAAGATATATCTTTACATTGGCAGAAACACATGATTTTTATGAAGGGTAAATTGAAAATGTACAAAACATAATCAGTAATAAAATATTTTGTGATAGGAAGCAGTGTAGAATAAAAGCATTGATGTGGTAATGGGTTTAAACTCCAAAGATTCCACTGTGTTGTGTGTGTGATGCCTTGGGCAATACTCTGAACCAACCAAAGTTTTAGTGCCTACTTTTATTAAAGAAAAATAAAAGCAAATTCCTCACACAATCTCAGATGGGTTAATGTAAGCTAGGAATATAAAGTTTTTAGCACCATGGTTCACCCTGGGAAGGTACCCAATACATGATAGATTTCTTATTAGATTTGTCCAGTAGCTCATTTTCAAAAATAAATGAAAAAATGGGAATATTAATCATATTAGAGTTTTAATTTAGAAAAACTGCCCAAGGAATATCTAAACTAATGTCTAACACACTTGTTGCACTCTCTCTGTGTAAGTAAGACTCAACCTTGATCTTCTGCCATGTCCTAAAATTGAGAAAATTTTGGCAATGAAAAATTACAATAATACAAAATCTTTGAGCCAGGTTGTTGCCAAATCTTTCAGTTCTTCACATCTGCAATATCTGTCCCTTTTTCTTTGTCTCTTAAGATATAAGCCCTCTTTGCGTATGATTCATTCTCATCTTAAGAAATACTATAATCCCGCCTTTATTGTCTCTCTTCTAGTTTTTCCCACTCTCATAACATGAAAATGCAGCTTCCAAATTCATCTTGTGTGATTCCAACTATGTCATGTACTTCTTAAAATCATTTTCTAAGGGTTAGTTTCCTTTTTTTCCACATTAGGTCAAATAGTTGGCTTTAGCTTAATATCTGTTTTTGTTTTACTCTCACATTTTATTTATTTTATTTTTTAGGCAAAATTTTCTATTTGCATTTCTCACTAGTTAAATAACTGTGGCTTGACAAGTACTCAGGCCACATTCATCTCATCTCTCATGCACTCAGACAAAAATGTGCACTGTTCGCATAAACTAGGAACTCTAGTCATCAGAAGTACCCTACGCAGTCTAAAGGACACATTTAGCAACACTTGAGTGTAGTTCTTTCTTATAAAGTCAACAGAACAGGACCCAATTCTGTAATGAGAACTAGATAGAATTTTATATGAAGCTCTATTAAATATATTTTTAATTGATTTAGGGTAAGGAGTATAGAGTTGGTTCCTTATCAGGTGCTAATGGGTATGCAAAGTTGTAATGTTATATTCTAAATAGTTGGCCTTACTATTTATATAACTCTCATGTCAAGCAATGAGAATTTTAATGTCTTTAATAACATCAGGCCATCTTCCCTTCCAATGGCAATTTTCCTTATCTTTCCCTATTAAATTTTTCTCATTAAAAGTTTACTAAGCCCGGTTGGCGTGGCTCAGCGGTTGAGCACTGACCTAAGATCCAGGAGATGGTGGTTCGATTCCCGGTCAGGGCACATGCCCGGGTTGTGGGCTCCATCCCCAGGAGGCAGCCAGTCAACGACTCCCTCATCATTGATGTTTCTATCTCTCTCTAACCTTCTCCCTTCCTCTCTCTGCAGTCAATAAAAATATATTTTTTTAAGTTTATTAAAAGTGGGCACCTTAATGTTCTTTTGAATGGGTGTGATATTGCATTAAAGGAAGCAAATGGAAAGCATAACATCTTTATAGAGAGTAATATACACAAACAGATGTCTACAAGGCCTACAGGTTTTAATTTGGCTCTTTTTTTAAAAAAAAAAAAAATTTTTATTGGTTTCAGAGAGAGAAGAAGGGAGAGGGAGAGAGAGAGAGAAACATCAATGATGAGAGAGAGTCACCGGTCTGCCGCCTCCTGCAAGCAACCCCGGCATGTGCCCTGACTGGGAATCGAACCGCGATCTTCTGGATCCTAGGTCGACGCTCAACAGCCGATCCAGGCCGACTGGGCATTCAGCTCATTTTTAACTTTAGTAAATAAGTCCCCACAGTTCGGGAAACAGGTTTTCCATGGATTTTGTTTGTTTGTTCGTTTTTTGATGATTTAGGTAAAAGAAAGAAATGAGTTGATGATCTTAATCAAAGCAGTTAATGAGCAATCTGTCAGATATTTTAAAACCCACTTTGGCTTTTAGAGTTTAAGCTTTCCGTTTTAAGACTATAAGTACTACATTCACAGCTAAGATATTACTTCCTGCCCGTTTCTTCGTNGTCAGATATTTTAAAACCCACTTTGGCTTTTAGAGTTTAAGCTTTCCGTTTTAAGACTATAAGTACTACATTCACAGCTAAGATATTACTTCCTGCCAGTTTCTTCGTAACATTTATGTAGAATATTTTGTACACAGTTATACTCTACTTCCTTTCATCCAGAAACTATATGGTGTATGTCTTTAGTCAGTCCATCATTTAGTAACAGTGAGGGGTAATGAATTAGCATGAAAATCAGGATCAAAAGCAATTCCCATCAGAAATATCTAGATAATTGGCCAAAAGTCATTTTTGTTTTAAACCTCTGAATGTTTATTTAAAAGTCACACTCTAAAGCCATTCTCATTTGCTTATGTTCTTAAAGATATTACATATGCAGATACTATTTTTTAATTAATTAACTATGTTATTTGGAGAATTTAGAAATACATTACTAAACCATAAGGGAAACAAAGCATAATTATTTACAAGATAAATATATTTATTGTCCTATGAAAACTTTTATTTAAAAAAATTTATATGACTCCAAATTATTTCCTTCAGATATAGTTAGCATACCTAAAGAAATAAGCTTGAAAATCCTGAAGTTCTAATTTCATAATAATAAAACTTTTAAAACCAATTTTTTGCATTTCTCATTATATAATTTGTGAATTACAGAATAGAGAAAGGCTACCAGGAAATTCTAACTCAATTTAAATTCTGAATAAAGAAATTCATTAACTTTATATTTGTTTCTTCTGTTTTTTACATGCTAAAATATGAAATAAGATTGTAAGTGATAGAGTATAGGAGACTCTAGCAAGACTTTGAAGATTCCCACAGTGCTGCAGACAACCTGGGAATATCTATTGGCTACAGATTGTAATTAGGAGAATTAAGTTTTTTTAATCTATTACACAAGAAAATGAAAAGACAAATAAACCAGCCCCATTTTAAATTAATATTGAGTAAAAAAATGAGGAATTCTATATAATTAGTAGAAAGTTAATTATTGCACGAGCATGTTTATAGTACATAAATTTATAGAAATTTGCCTTTAGATGCTCACATTCTCTTTGAGGAAGTAATTAAAGGGTCAAAGAGCAATAGAGAGCTTGAGGAAGACAATTTAAAGCTATACATGCTTTGGAAAGACACGGATCAAGCCACAGGAATGTGGATACAGACTCCTGACCAAGACACAGATGGCCCTCAAGCCAGTCTCCTCACTCATCAGACACCTGGAAATGCCCAGGTTATGGAGTGGGAGGTGTAATTGAATATTCTCATTTGCACCCACTGACTCAATACAAAGAAAATCACCCTATTGTCTTCTGCTCAATTAAAACCAAAGCCACCATATTATTACCTATCTAGTTTTTCTTAATACTCATCTCATTTGCAATTATTTGCTCAAGACTTTGTTCCCTCTGGGTAGTAAGCTCCATGAGGACAAAAACCCTGATCTTTTTTGCCCCCTAGAATGTAGCACAATACCTGGCATATGATAATTGTTCAATAAAAGGTTATTATTGCTGCTGCTCATGATGATGATGATGATGATGATTTATATCCCCTGTACCCCTACCTCTTTTTCTTTTATCTCTTGTCCCTCTTCTTTAACACTCTTATCATCACATTCTATTTATAAAGATATTGATATAAAATTCCAAGTTGCACACAAAAGTTTGTAAGTGCATTTGAATGAACTATTTGCTTTACAATACATTCATATTAATTATTAAAGCTTTAAAAACAAGGCATGGAAAGGAAAATATTAATGGAATCTAAAATTACAGCCTGGCCGGGCATGGCTCAGCGGTTGAGCGTTGACCTGGGATCCAAGCAATTGGGGTTCGATTCCGGGTCAGAGCACATGCCCGGGTTGTGGGCTCAATCAATGACTCTCATCATTGATGTTTCTATCTCTCTCTCCCTCTCCTTTCCTCTCTCTGAAATCAATAAAGATATACTAAAAAAAAAAAAAAAAATTACAAAGTAATTGCAATGGATTTCCTAATATAAAGATGGTTCACTCAATTTATTTTTTAAAGTAAGTTTAAAAAGCAATATTATTCACTAATTAATATCAATGCCTTTTTTTTAAAAAAAAAAAGTCTTTCTATATAACTTATTTTATTATACAATATCTTCATTTTAAATAATGGATTGCTCTTGTCCTTTCTGTTTCTTTTTGATTGATAGGTTCAAGCAATTCTAAGAAGAAACTGGAAGCAATATAGAACTCAGTTTGGAAACGGCTTTTCCCACTCAGATGCTCTTCGTAGTGCATCTTACACAGTGTCCTCCGTCAGTGATGGTACAGGTTACAGTAATGACTATCCAAGTGAACACTTAAATGGAAAAAGCACCCATGATATTGAAAATGTTGTTTTAAAACCAGAAAAGTTTAGTGATTATATTTTATAATAGAGGCAACATTGTTTGACTATATTGTTCCACTCTTAACTTGAGGACTTTGATCCATGATTTTATAAGCAGAAGAATTCAATATTAAGTGAATTTCTTGATTGCCGCAAAGAGTCCCTCACATGAATTCAGTAGTTTGTTGATCAATGTTTAACAACTAGCTTTATGGGGGGGAGATGCTCTGATTTGTAATGTGTGCCAGTTTCTATGGTGTAAATAGTCCTACCATGGCTGATTTCAAGCTACAAGTTTGACACCACTGAATGTGGAATTAAAAAAAGGTGACCGCAATCAATTCTTGTGGTTGGAATCAACCAGTTCTAGCACACTGCATGCATTAAAAAATGAATGAGACTGTAAAAGTTCATATACACATTCAGCATAAGTCTACTCTTGTTGCCTAAAGAGACCTAGTTAAAGCCTATAGGAATGGATGCAAAATTAACTTTTCATTTGTTTATTTAAAAACTTTATCACATATTCATAGGTGAAGTTGATTTTTTTTTTTTGCTCAGAGAGCATTCTAGCTCTTTTTGTATTTACCCTTTCAAATGGACCAGATAAAGGGATGATTATTCCTGTTGGCTTACCCTCTCCTTCCCAAGAAAGGCACCTGAGCAGAATTCTTGTTGGGTACTCATTTGCTGACACATCACACATACCCTGTGTCATATCCGATTTTATGACATAAACAGTATGTATGACATGGAATCCTACTTTGGTATCATTAGGGACACATCTTGGTTGATACTACAATACACTTTATCAGCTACTTTCTTATCTTACCACATAAGTGGGAGAGAATCAGTTTCCCCGTATCTGTAAATAAAAGCGTTGCCCCTTCCATTCTACTGTGTAGACAAATTAGCAAGTATTTTACATAAAGAATATCAATGAAGAGTTTCTTATTTCCTTTGGAGTTTGTAAAAAAAATTGTTGTGAAAGATGAGCTTGTAAATACTCTGTTATTCTATTTTATAGCCTCAAATCAGATACATGCAATCTGGGTAAGATTTTTAAAAACAAATACATAATGTAACAATGTATGCATCTTAATATCTGATACTGTGTCTGGGCTGATTTTATAATAAAATAGAGTCTGGAATTTTATATTTGGTAAATATATTAAAGACAACCAGATGCCAGCATCAGAAGTTTGAGAACTAACAGAAACATCTATAAAAGATATAAAATATTTATTAAAAACAAACTCAAGACCATTGTTTTATTGAACATATTAACTTTGGTGTTTCATACTTAATCGGTATGTTTGACATATTTCTCTTTTTATTTTGACGATGAACTTGCATTCTAATTCAGAAAATTTAAGCAACTCCTACTGTAATAAATGCCAGTTCGCTACTCTTATGGTTTTTACCACATTAAAATATTAATTTCCTGACTTATACTATATGAGGGCGTATGTCTTTTGAAATGTTTCAAGTTATTTAAAAACTATAGGAATGCAATATATATCAAATAGAGTATAATACTCTTTTAACAGAGCTACAATATATGATGATAGAAATCAGTGAAAGATTTTAATATAGCATTGAGGAAGAATTGTTGTCAGAATGTTTAAGGAATAATTGAATTAAGATGGAAGAAAGCCTTGCTAATGAATTAAAGCGACAGTTAAATGGGGATTCAGTTTGCTAATGTTACTTTTTCCTGATTTATGACAAACAAAATACCATCAATTAGCAAAAGTCCATTTTGGGAGGAGACATCACTATGTGTATGTGTGCTTACAGTGTGTCAGTTGCTTACAGTGGATTACACTAGTGACTTAGTCATCATGGGTTGTTTCTTAAACCATCAATAGATGGTGAGTTCAGAAGTCATTTGAAATTTTCCAGGATAATTATCAAAATTGTAAGAATTAACATGTTAAATGGTCTGACCAATACATTTATAGTTTACCCATATACATGTAAAACTTTTATTAAGTTAGTTCAAATTTGTGGATTTCACAGCAAGTTGTCAGAAAAAGGAACACGGGCTGTTCTAGACAATCTACTGCCTAAATTATACAAATTCCTTTAAATTAACTCACTTTTAGCTATTTATTATTCCAAGACAGATTCGAACCCTTTGTTGACACTGCATATTTCAGCATTCTTTTAGACAAACTGTCCAGTCTCAACCATAAATGACAGTAAAAAATGTCAAATTATAAGCTAGCATTATATTAAAATTATACTACAATTTTCAAGTATTTTTTATTGTGATTTTTATTAACTTTAGATCAGATTTCTTTTATGTCCAGGATTTATCTATTGTACAGTCTTCAATTAATCAGTGTTAATTTTGTACCCATATTTTTGGGGGATACTATTTTTAAATATTAGAATTCTCTTAATTAGAAAGCTGAATTTCTAATTAAGATTTCCTTTGTTTCTTACTCATAAAGTAAAATTAAAATTGATATTTTTAAAAGTAAACTTCTTTGGTATCTAAAAAATAATTTTGGGAATTTCTAACTTTTACAATGTAGACCTGCTATTTTTCTGCAAGTGCTTGTGAAACTCACATTGTAATTTTTTGAATATTCTAATGTCATTTTTTATTTTCTGAAGTTATTTTCCAGTGCACTTGTTCATAAAATATCTATTCTGTAATTTAGTGTTTGTTCAAATGTAATCCAGTGTACATAGAATTGGTGGTAGCTGAAGTGCTGTTTTTATTGCTTACTACTTTTTTAAAAATGTGAACCTGTTTTAATTTTCTCTTGTTTTAATCTGCTAATAGAAACAATCATTTCTTTTATCTGTAAAACATACTTAAGATATTTGATCAATTAAAACAACTCATGCCTACTTAATGTATATCTCTATATTTCGATTCTATGAAAATGTTAAAGTTATGAGTTAAGTTGGTTTTCACTCATGTTCACTGCGATGCTCAATAATCTAATTTATAAACATAATTCTTTACAGCAATCAGTGACATACTTCTTAAAATCAATGACTATATCTCTATTACCTTCTTTGAAGTCTCCAATATACCCACAAGTCATTCCATAAATTCTATTTTAAAATGTTATGAATTTGCTCTCTTAGTGGAAAATTCCAAATAAATGACAAAGTATGCAAATTCCTTCCTAGACAGAAAGAAAGGGATTCCCATAAAGAGGGAAATGTACAAGGCTTTGCCTCCTTTCCTCATTATATTATGTTGGGTAGTTTTGTATTGGAAAACGGAAAGGAAAGGAATCTTTTAAAGTAATTTTTTAGAATAAAATACGTTATAAAATAAATTTAAATCAACAAGATATATTGAGCATCTATTTAAAAAGCACAATACTAGGAGCATTGCAGTACAAAATGGAGTCCCTCCATAGAGATTTTGCAACTTAAATAGAATTTTAAAATCTGATATGTTTCTCCTTACTTTCAAATAGACATTCCTCCACTAAATACTTTGCATTGCATAATCTTTGCTTTAAATCTATGAAAGCTACAGTTTAAGCTACACAAATAATTTTACAACATAGCTCACAGGAGCAGATGGAGAATTAAAAAGTGTTGACTTAAATCTGGTATCATTCCTCCCAAGTACGAAATAAATTTTTTTATGTTCCAATTGGAGACTATATCAAAACATCCCAGGCTTTGACCCAGAGAGACAACTCATCCTTTGGATCAAAATTCCTCATTGCTTTAGTCCAAAAATTCTGTAAGCATTATGCTAAATAGCGAGAAACATTTACCACAGCTTTCAGCGTGCAAGGAACAAAGGATCCAAATAAATACATACAATGACAGAAAGTCACCTCTATCTCTTCTCGTCCCCACATGGAGCATGAACTCTGCTTGCGTGTGTGGCCAGAGCTCTACAGCATTAACAGTGGAACTACATCTCTGCCCACTTCAGAGGGTTTCACAAACACCACATTTCTGGCTACACATCTGTGCTAAACAAAAGCAGGATACACCCAGCAAACCAGCAACTTATTTCAACTCAAACACCAGGGGGTTGTCTTTATTTTTTTCTTCTTACATTTTTATTCTTTTTTTTAAAATATCATGGGATGAGATAAAAAACTTGCCTGAACCCCAGATCTACGAAGAAATTCATTCTGTCGTTCAGCAAATACTTATTGTTTAGGGGATGTATTAGTTTAGATCAGGTAACAGGAAGGGTTCCCAATGGGGTCACATTTGAGCAGAGACATGAGAGAGCTCTGTGGTTAATTGGGATGGGAGGCATTACTGGCACCATGACCAGTAAGGACACAGGTTCCATGGCAGTACTGTTGGAGGAACCTCAAGAAGGTGGTGGAGTGGAAGTTAAAGAGGGGACAGAGCCCTGCTGGTGTGGATTAGTGGTTGAGCACTGGCCCATGAACCAAGAGGTCACCGGTTTGATTCCCAGTCAGGACACATGCCCCAGTTATAGGCTTGATCCTCAGTAGGGGGCATGCAGGAGGCAGCCGATCAATGTTCTCTCTTATTGATGTTTCTATCTCTCTACCTCTCTCCCTTCCACTCTCTCTAAAAAGCAATAAAAACATATTTTATAAAAAGAGAGGACAGAAATAGATGAAGCCAGAGGCTCACTAGTAACCACATCATCCAGGGCCTTGAAAGCCAAGGTGTGGATTTTTTATTTTATCTAGGGCAGGGCGGCTTGGGAAAGAAGAGTGAAGTTATCTGATATCTGTTTAAAAAGTTCACTCTGACTGATGAGTAGAGAATAAACTGTATGGTGGCGAGAGTGAAAGCAGAGTAGAAATGGTGGAATCGGGGAGACTGGTAAGAGGCTACTGCAACTGTCTAAGCAAGAGATGATGTTGGGAGCTTAAAATAGCACATTAGCAGAGGTCGTGGGAAGTCAAAGAATTCTGAATATACATAGAACTGGAGCCAACAGGATATGGTCTTTGATTGGATATAAATTTAAGAGTCAAGAATGGTTTCAATTTTGTTTTGTTTTTTGTTGTTCTGTTTCCTTGAGCATTGAGGAGAATGGAGTCACATTTACTGTTTATTAACTGAGGAAAGAATGAGACAAAGCACATTGGTTGGAGAAATCAAGAGCTTGGTGTTAGTCATAGAAGATTCATATTCTATTAGGTATCGATGCAGAGATGTGTGTGCGACAGACTGCTCAGCCCATGAGTCTGAAGACCCGGAGGCAGGTGTGGACTTGAGGTGTGAACCTGAGTGTTGTCGACACATTGAAAGCACTGACAACATTGAAACTGGGTGCGTGCACTCAGGAAGCAGAAGTAAATACAGGAGAAAAGAAACTCAGGGCCTGAGTTCTGGGGTCCTGTTCCCCACCATTAAGGAGGTGGGATATGGCAGAGAAGCCAGTGAAAAGGGCTCAGCAGAGCACTCCGTGTGCTAGAAGGAGCACCGGGTGAGAGTTATCTCAGAAGCTAATTGGGAAAAAACGTTTCAAAACAGACAGAGCAGCTAGCCTTGTCACATGCGGGTAGGCCTCAGCCAAAATGAACAGGCGCATGTCATTGTTTCTGGCAACATGGGTGTCATTAGTGACACCGACAAAGGCGGTCTCAGGGGACTTGTTGAGACAAAATCCTGATCTGAGTGGGTTCCAGAGAAATGGATGATCTTAAAATATTTTTTTGAATAACCATAAAAAATAGAACAAAATGACAAAAATAATTTGGCAGAATTAAATATAATGCATCTGGTTCATATAAGCAGAGGGTTTAACTTACGTATTAATAGATTTTCAAACTGGACCACAAGTAAAAGCATCTTTTTGAGGTAGACAAAATACAATCCTAAACACATGATTAAGAAACTCTGAAAATACCAGACAAATCCAAACAAACAAATGAAAAAGTAATGGTCCTGATCTTAACACTAGGCAGGGAGGAATTTAGGTTTTCTAAAAAAGGTATCAAGTGAGAAAAGGAAGGGCATTTTATAATACTAAAGGGTGTAAGTCCCAGAGATTGCATAACACTTATGAATCTGTGCAGTTATGAATATATAACAGAAATTATAGGAGATATAAGGAGAACTGGACAAAAACACAAAAGTAGTAGGAAACTTTACCTCTCTCAACGACTATGAAGTGACAAAAATATCAGAAAAGAAAAAGACATAATTAACTTATTGAGAAAAGCCAACCCTCCAACTTATTTTTATGAAGTGAGAAATCAAATTTGCAATCTAATATTGTTAATATATTATGAATAATGTTAGATAAAAATCTAAAGTAAAATATTGGGAAACAGAATTCAATGCATATTAAAAGATATTTCATAACCAAGTAAAATGTGTTTCAGGAATGCAAGAATAAATCAATGTTTTGAAAATCTATTAACTTAATACATCATATGGATGGAATTAAGGAAAAAATATATAGATAGAGAACAAGCTGATGGCTGCCAGAGGGAGGGGGTGGGGGATGGGTGAAGAAAGGTGAAGAGGAATCAGTGATACAAGCTTCCAGTTATAAAATAAATAAGTCAAAGGAATTTAATGTATAGCACAGGGCATCTAGTTAATAATATCATAATAACTTTTTAGCATGATAGGCAGTTATTAGACTTATAGTAGTGATCACATTTTAAGGTATATAAATGTCAAATCACTATATGTGAAACTAATACAAAACTGTATGTCAACTATACATTAATTTTAAAAAGTCAAACAGTCATGTCCAAAGTTGGTGAAGAAGCATTTGGCAAAATTAAACTATATATTTAATTTTTCAAAAATAAAAATACATAAGGAATTTACAGATACCTCATTTACATAATAAAAGATACCTCAGCCCCAAAGTCAGCATCATGTCAGTAGAAAAATACTAGAAGCTTTGTCCCTAGAGTTAGGACCAACATGTAAATGCTTACATATCACCACTGCTATTTAATATCCAACTAAACAAAATAGAGGTACAAAATATGGAAAGCAGGGGGGAACTACGAAGATTTTCTGGTGATAGAATGGACACACCTGGAGTGCTAGCCTAAGCGTAGGAGAATTCAGAAGTGTAGCAACATACAAAGCAAATGTACACAAATCAACATACACATGTAACCACCAGGTAGAAGTTGCAGACCTCTTTTTATCTTATCTCAGGCTACATATTATATTCCATTCCATTATTGTCTTACATTTTCTAGAAACACTTTAACATATTTAATCCCCAGCCTGTTATTGTTTACTCCATGTCTTTGTCTACTCAGGCTCCATAACAAAAATACCATAGACTGGGTGGTTTAGTCAACAGAAATTTATTTCTGCCAGTTCTGGAGCCTGGAAAGTCCAAAATCAAGGTGCCAGCAAGGTACCAAGATCACAGCCTGCTTTCTGAGGCCTCCTGTTTTAACGTGTAGGTGGCTGTCCTCCTGCTGTGTGCTCACATGACCTCTTCTTTGAGGACACGGAGAGAGAGTGAGCTATAAGTATCTCTTTTTATAGAGACATGAATATTATCAGATAAGGGCCCACTTTTATGACTTCATTTAACCATAATTTCTTCCTTAGAGGCTCCATTTCCAGCTACCACCACAATAGGGGTTAGGGCTTCAATATACGAATTTGGGGAGGGACACAAATATTCAATTCATAACACTCTATTATTTTATTAGATCTCTGTGTGCTACCTATTACCCCATAATAAAGCAAACAAAATATAACAAAACTAAAATTTACATCTCTCCTGTAAATTAGATAGTGCTACCTTTTCTGAAATAAGAATTCAACGAATGTTATCTTACTGCTTGTGTCCATTTCCAGACAACTGCTGATGGCTGTCTTATCTTTCTTCATAGAACATCCAATTTCCTCACAAACTTCAAACTTCTCCCTCTTCAGAGGTCACCTTGGTCACTTT